AATAACAATGTGAGAAGTTGAAATAAGAAGGTGATGTGAAACAGGCGAGGCAATCGTTTAATAATACTATATAAGGAGCCTCCGAAAAAAGGCCTAGTCCTTCAAGAGCAAGGATGGGTTCAGCTTAATAAGTGTTATTAAAAGAAAAGGTGATGTTACACAGGGGTAAATAGTTGAATGTCCCAACTTTTTTTGGAGTGTGTTGCAATGATCAGATTGTAAATGAGTGTATATTTTCATGTGTTAATGTATTTTCAGTATAGTACAGAGTGAATAAAATTTTCAAATGACCCTTTTTTTTGTGGGTTTTTTTTTCATTTGCCATACTGTCCCAAATCTTTTGGAATTGTGGTTCTACATTCATAAATATAAATTGTAATTGCTGGCACATTGCTGTGGTATAAGAGGAATAAAACACGTGTTATAGGAACGTCGGAGTGTTAACAGTAACTGCACTTCATCACACCACCTCGTCTCTCAGTATTTTACTATAAGAGCCCCGTCCAACAGTCAGGAACTGCTAATGATCCAATATCTTATCAAATATTAACAGAGACTGTTTTCATTTTATTCAGGATCGCTGCTTACCGTACTGTCAGTCACCGGTGTGAGTGTTTTACTGGCTGAATTGATGAGCTTCTGTCTCTGCGTGTGTATCTGTAAGTCTTTAATTTCATCTTTTAGCAAAAACTTGATTGTGTTGATAATTATGACATGACTGAACGTGTTTTTGTTTCTTAGACAAGCAGAAGACTGAGAGGTTAGAAATTTATTGTGTTCAGCTGAACTGCGTATTATTAAATCCTGATTTTATCACATCCAAGCATCTAATGGCCGTGTATATCTGTGTGGATTATTTTTCAGCAGATGTAAACTGAACACGACCCACCGAGATCAGGGTAAATTTATCACTTTCTTACCAAACTGGAAGTCCAAAAATAAACGACAATTTAACACATCCACACGTCCACTGAGTTTAAGTAGATTTACAAGTGATGATTTGTGTTTTTTTCAGGAGTCATGATGTCCGTGCTCAATATGAATAATGTAAGTAGCATTTCTGTCTTATGAATAATAAATTGTAACTCACTATCAGATACAGTTAATGTAATGTTAAGGACTGAAAGAATAAGAACGTCTAACAGACTTTTTTCTGATGTTTACTCTGGCTCAGAAGCTGCTGGAACTTATTCTGTGATCAGCTCAGTACCATTACCGTCCCTGCCTTTAGGTAAATTATACAGTTCAAACTCACACATGACATAACTTACTTAATAGTGCTTTACAATAAACACACAACACATGCACTAAGAGTAAAGAGTAGAAAGAAATTGGGTTAAAACTACTCCAAACATCCAGTGACTTACAGTGCTTCACTTTTCCCACATTTTGTTATGTTAAAAGGGATTAAATTCATTATTTTCCTCAAAATTCTACAAACAATACCCCATAATGACAACATGAAAGATGTTTGTTTGAAATCTTTGAAAATTTATTAAAGATAAAAAACAAAAAAGCACATGTACATAAGTATTCACAGCCTTTGCCATGGCACTCAAAATTGAGCTCAGGTGCATCCGGTTTCCACTGATCATCCTTGAGATGTTTTTACAACTGGAACGGAGTCCACCTGTGGTGAATTTAGTTGATTGGACATGATCTGGAAAGGCACACACCTGCCTATATAAGGTCCCACAGTTAACAATGCATGTCAGAGCACAAACCAGCCATGAAGACCAAGGAATTGTCTGTAGAGACTGGATTGTATCAAGGCACAGATCTGGGGAAGGGTACAGAAACATTTCTGCAGCATTGAAGGTTCCAATGAGCAGAGTGGCCTCGATCTTTGTAATTGGAAGAAGTCTGGATCCACCAGGATTCTTCCTAGAGCTGCCCCCCCGGCCAAACTGAGCGATCGGGGGAGAAGGGCCTTAGTCGGAGAGGTGACCAAAAACTCAATGGTCACTCTGACAGAGCTCCAGCATGTCTCTGTGGAGAGAGGAGAACCTTCCAGAAGAACAACCATCACTGCAGAACTCCATCAATCAGGCCTGTATGGTAGAAAGGCCAGACGGAAGCCACTCCTCAGTAAAAGGCACATGACAGCCAGTCTGGAGTTTGCCAAAAGGCACCTAAAGGACTCTCAGACCAAAGATTGAACAGAGAATTAACTCTTTGGCCTAAATGGGAAGTGTCATGTCTGGAGGAAACCAGGCACCACTCATCACCTGGCCAATACCATCCCTACAGTGAAGCATGGTGGTGGCAGCATCATGCTGTGGGGATGTTTTTCAGTGGCAGGAACTGGGAGACTCGTCAGGATCAAGGAAAACATGAATGGAGCAATGTATAGAGACATCCTTGATGAAAACCTGCTCCCGAGCGCTCTGGACCTCACACTGGGGCGACGGTTCATCTTCCAACAGGACAACGACCCTAAGCACACACCCAAGATAACAAAGGAGTGGCTACAGGACAACTCTGTGAATGTCCTTGAGTGGCCCAGCCAGAGCCCAGACTTGAACCCGATTGAACATCTCTGGAGAGATCTCAAAATGGCTGTGCACCGACGCTCCACATCCAACCTGAGGGAGCTTGAGAAGTCCTGCAAAGAAGGTGAATATATAAAATGGGTGTTCCAAGCTTGTAGCATCATACTCAAAAAGACTTGAGGCTGTAATTGGTGCCAAAGGTGCTTCAACAAAGTACTGAACAAAGGCTGTGAATTATGTACATGTGCTTTTGTACTGTACCCTGTGGATAATCTATAAGGTGATCTGAACCGTGCAGGCTAATCAAACCTGTAAACAAAGACCGAATAGAACTCAGACACTGGATATAATATTAAACAGCTTGCAGAAATGCTCAGGGAAAGTGTCAAACCCTCACTAAGAGTCGAGGTGAAGGAACTGTTTAAATCCACTGAACAAATGAAGGTGAAACACGTAACAGGAGCATTCAATACACAGGTATTATTAAACACAATCGGTTCATTTTTCCAGCTGATGGATAATTGTTGTATTTAAGACTGTTTTATAGCATCAAAACATATGATTTAGGGGTTTTACTCCCCCTTCAAATAAAAATAAATAAATAAATCTAGTCCAATAAAGGTTATAATTATAGAATATATTGATAAAGTGTAATCAATATGTGCAACTAACATTTAGAATTATTACTTAGAAGCATAATCTAATAATCAGTATTAGTTCATCCTCCTGTTCCTTTCTGCACAGCAATAAATTGTCATTAGACATTTGCTGAAACTGCTTTTGTAAGTAAATGACCTTGAGGCCCGATACTGATTATCAAGTTAGGATAGGGCCTCAGGAAGGGAGGCAGATATCAGCTACAGTAGGATGGCAGACAGAAGCTCATTGAGACATTGAGAAGGGAGTTTTGGTCAGAGAAAAACAAAAGACTCTGAGTTTCTGAGTGAAACCTTTTTTTTTTTATATTATTTTTTATTTAAAGGAAACTTTGTCCTCATAAAAACCTTTTTAAGAATAGCAACTAACTGCTCATGCTCCACACATCTAAGATATTATATAGACATGAATAATGAATTGTGGGGAAGGAGATTGGTTTGTTTCTAATGAGAAAAGGTAAAACCCCGTCTATGATGAGCTCGCTGTTGCAGAAAGGTAGAAAAGGGCATGTGCGTGTTTGCATAATTTGGACTTTCTGCAGATTGTCTCACTTTACTGTTTCAATAAAGTTTGATTATATTTTGGCCTCTACAAACCATTTTGTCTGTGAAGTTTGTTTGTTTTTTCTAAACTTAAACTGGAAAGATTTTTTTCCACTACATAATGTAGTTAAAAAAAATTTTTTATAATCTGAATGTCATGTCACTATGAGACACTTTAAACTTTACACACGATGTGAATTTTCAGATACCAGTGGAGAATTAACAATAGATTCTAAGGAAACAATGGTGAGTAGCGTTTTGCTGTCAGTTACTGGATAAACTGTTACACTGCTTTGTGGTCAGAGTTTCCATATTACAGCCTTTGATGGCTTTCTTGGCTTCATTTCTACTGCACAGTCAGGCTTTGTCTGCAACAGCAGAACTACACATTAAAACATCGCTTTACATGACAAGTCAACAATACATTTTGATTTAAAAGACACTCATAATAGCTGACATCTTATTTTATTTTAACAGGTCGACGTGTATCATGTGTATAGCTCCATCCCTGACATACAAGTGACCACCAATGACTCAGTGTACAACCTGCAGCAGATGCACTGATGTATGTTACACCTTACTGAATGTAAACAGTTATGTACAGTATTATTATTATGTCTGTTATGCCTTAACATGTCCTTTAATTGAATAGCTTGCTTTTGGATTTGAAATGAATTGGGCTTCTGCTGGCTTGTAACTGTGATGTCACTGAATGGATCTCAAGACTGAGTCCAGATTAATAAAGAGCTGATGGTTTTACAGAAGCCCAAATACTTTCTTCAAAACTAGCCTAGTTTGGGGTGAAAATTGCGACCTTACCTCTTAAAGTGATGTAAAGGGGTGTAATGACTTAAAAGTGATGTTTATTCATGCATCCATAATGAACTTTTTCACACTATCTGTTGTTACCCAGTTGAGGACGGGTTCCTGTCAAGGTTTCTTCCTCTTAAACATCTTAGGGAGTTTTTCCTCGCCACCGTCACCACTCAGTGGCTTGCACAGTTGGGATAAATTCACAACTTTAATATTTGTATACCGTGTTTATATTTCTGTAAAGCTGCTTTGAGACAATGTCTACTGTAAAAAGCGCTATACAAATAAAATTGAATTGATTGGCGTGGCTGAGTGTGATGGATTGGCATCCTGTACCGCCTTGTAAATGGTAAATGTGCACTTATACATGTGCACATTTACACTGTGTCTCATTCACCCATACACCAATGGTAGCAAAGCTGCCATGCAAGGTGCTTGCCATCGGGAGCAACTTGGGGTTCAGTGTCTTGCCCAGGGACACTTTGGTATGTGGAGTTACGTGGGCCGGGAATCGAACCCAATCCTAGGATTAGTAGCCAACCCGCTCTACCAACTGCGCCACAGCCGCCCCATTATGCCCCCAATGGCTCCCTGGGATAGGCTCCAGGTTCCCCGCGACCCTGAAAAGGAGTAAGCGGTAGAAGATGGATGGATGGATAAAACGTTTAATTAAAATGCTCGTTAAGCCGATCATGTGACCAGTGCGCGTTTCCTGGGGTGCAACGTTAATTGATGTCCGACCAACAACAACAAACCGTATGATATTAAAGAGGCGATGAGCTGCTTTGGAAATGAAGGCAATTTAAATACCAGAACAAGATTATATTAACACAAATAATATTCGCAAAACATCAGGGGCTTAAACCGCACAAACTCTCCTAATGACGCCGCTGCTATGTAAACAAACATGTACAGCCTAGAACCTGACATAAATGAACCACAGAACTGTTCTGCAGTACCGGGATGTGTTCGCTAGAGGGCAGGAGAGGCTTCAATGAGCGCCCAGCTGTCAATTTAATACCTAATGCGTGATCACCCGTGCAAAAATTTTGCACGTAAAAAGCAGTAAAGACAGAAACATTGTAGATTTGAAAGAAGAAAGCATTTAGTGTATGTTTCACAGATGTTCCTTAAATATCACAGATAAAATAAAATAGATGACAGTGAATGAGCATCCAAAAGCTGTTATTAAAAAAATCATAAATAAAAGCAAACAGTTGTCAGAGACTTTTTATATTGCAATAAGAAAGACGGAAAGTTTTTAACCAATATCACCGGGAGCCTTTCATCATAAAATGTCATATAACAATCACTCTTTGATCATTTTTGTTATTTTTCTCATTGTCCTGTCAAAATATACATTGGCAAGTTAGTGCCTTGCATTTTAGCTCTGCTATTATTGGTGGGTGAATGAGACACAATGTAAAGTGCTATATAAGTGCGCCATTTAACTTCTTTAAGAAACTTTCTATTTATACCACAGTACTGCTGAGTTCTGGACTCTGATTGGTCAGAAGGTGTTGATTAGGTTTCTATCACAGCAGCTTAGACTGTAGCGCAGCTGCACATCACAGGTTTATATTAATGCACTCTTTCTAACACGTTATCGTTTCTATAGTAACCGCTCATTTACTAGGATGTATGGAGGTGTTTATATATGATTTATGGAAGGAGTCACCAGTGTCTTGGTAAATGGTAAATGTGCACTTATATAGCGCTTTTATCCAAAGCGCTTTACACTGTGTCTCATTCACCCATTCACACACACACTCACACAACAATGGTAGCAGAGCTAGCTTGCCATCGGGAGCAACTTGGGGTTGCGGCATGTGGAGTCACCCGGGCCGGGAATCGAACCGCCAACCCGCTCTACCAACTGCGCCACAATCGCCCCAACTGCCACCGTCTTTGTAACAGTAAAGCTGTAGCTATAAATGGATTAAAAAAAAGGGCTCATTTATAATTAGTTACATTTTGTAAGAGGAATAAACACTTGGGGATGCGCTGTTAGACGAAAATATTCAAATTTGGGTTAGTAACTGTAAGTCGGCTTCATCTCACCAACCTGTTGTTATTATTTTCCCAAAACAGCACAACACAGTGTTTATTCTTTACTCATGGTTAACGTATTGATGTAGTCGCTACAGTTTTGCGTCTTTGTGAACTGCACATTGTATAAATGATAATTTTTATTAATTGATGTATTTGTGATTTTGTAGATTTGTTCATCTATAACGTAATAAACATCTTGCTGAGTGTCAGCTTTCTGTACTGGTCTATAAAAAATACAAACGTTTTGTTCTCACAGGACTGTGAGCGTGTTGAGGTGATGGTGGTGGATATTTATACCTCATGTGTTCAGTACATAATGTAAAAAAACTGAGCTGAAATGAAAGGTGTATTTTTATGGTAAGCCGTGGTTTTCCTGTGACCTTGTGTGAGAAAGCTTTCTGTCTCGTCTGTGGTCTCACTCTGTATGAGAAATGGTACGGTCTGTCCTCCTAATTGTCTGTTTCTAAAGGTTTGTATTCATTTATGAAGCATTCATACATATTTATATGTATTTAAAATGTAGCTTTACTTCAGCTACGTATGGAGACAATGTGGACAGTTTAAGGTGGACTGTTTTGGGTTTTTATTCTGATCTAAAATGAGCTTTTTCCAGATATTAAGACCAGAATCTCGGTGCTTTAGATTCATCCAGGACATTCACCTGCAAAGTGAGTTGTGTTTTTTTTATTCTGTAAAATAGATATAATAAAAGTTATTTCTGATATAGATACACTGGATGGTGTTAATTGGATAATGAAGCTCTCTTGATTGTTTAAAAATGAACTTTGTGCTAAGATTTATAAAAACATTTTTAAAGCTTTTAAGAAGCTCCAAGCCGTGTGCAGGTCAAAATGAGCCATTTGATATATTTGAATAAAGGTGAAATAAAGATTTTTACCAACATTACATGCACAGGAGGTTCTTAACTTAGCTGATCACATCTTGGCAAGTGGGAATTATCTTGAATAGAGTCAAGTTTATCATTACAATAAAACAAACCTGTTTATAGACTATTATTATTAATATTATTATTATTATTATTTATTTATTTTTTTTAACTAAATTCAAGTTTGAAATTTTCTGCAAAAGGGAGACAAAAATCCAAAAAATAGGTTTAATAATCTTATATTTCTTTACTGAAATTGTATAATAAGAAAATGTGAATAAATTTGACTTTATTCAATATATTTCCACTTACTAAGATTCACTTCTTCGGTTTTTTAAAGATTGTGTGCATTTCTTTAGACATATGTTAAACAAATCATTTGACAGCTATTAAATATTCTAATAGCAGCATTTCCTCTTTTTTTAAAAAAGTCCTGATATTTCAGTGTGATATTGCATACAGTGTGTATTAACTACACAGTTTGATCAAATAAATTCTGATATTAAACATATTTATGAAGGGAGACTGGAGGTGAAAGTCATTATAACAGAATCACAATACAAAACAATACAGAAATTGTTATAATTTTGCTGTGGTTTAAAAACTGGGGTACGCATACCCCCAGGGGAACGTGAGGTGACAGAGGGGGTACGGGAGCAAAAGGCTGAGATTTACTGTTCATTTAATTCACCTCACTAAATAACATTAAAATTCTAATCCATGTTTTTCCTCGCAGCCAAAAAATAAACTTGTGCCCCCTCCAGTGTACAAACAGCAAAATTGCAATGTTCTAAAGGTCAAAATCATGACCTCCATTCAAATTATCCTGTCTTTCGCGGTCAAAACAGTCATGCGTCAGTGTGCATCTTACCGTTTGTCATTTATCACCAGCATACGGCTATATGATGAAGTTAAGTAATAGCTCGTAACATTAAAATGGAGTACAAAGATTTTGGCCCGCAACCACAGCAAGCGCCCCTGATCCACAGTCCTCTGACAGCAGTGGCCAGGTCCCTCTAACACCGCATCCATAGCAAGCGTAAGTGTACCCACTGCTACTAGCCCAGTTCACACTGATACAGACAGCAGTGTATCCAAAGATGAAACGCCACCAGCAATCCGCAGAAAAACATCAAAGAGGCGCAAATATAATGAAAGATATATTTCTTTGGTCTTTACATACACTGACAGTGAAGAAAATCCCCAGTCACAGTGTGTATATGTGCAAACGTACTCTTTCATAACTGCATGAAACCAGAATCTCTGCACAGATATTTAGAAACAAAGCATGATACTTACTTTTTGGAAAATAAACCTCGAGAGCTTTTTGAAAGACATTTAAGACAACTCAGGAGTAGTAAGAACCTTATAAAAGTGTAGTAAAACCTAAATAGGAAGGGTCTGGACGCATCCTACATGGGGAGTTGCAGAGTGGCTAAGACGGGCAAACCCCAAACTATTGTGGAGGAGTTAATTCTTCCTGCTGCAGCTGATATAGCTGGTTTAATGCTTGAGGGAAAAAAGAAAAGAAAAAAACAATATAGAGGATGGCATCATCAACACAGTTTGAGAGAGGGGGTATGCAAAAGGATATTAAATACCTAGGGGTTATGCCACTGTAAAAAGTTTGGGAACCACTGATTTAGAGTAAATACAGTGTTGTGTATAGAACACACATTAAAGCTCTTTTTTTAGTTATGTGTAACCTGCTCAGAAGTGAGTCTGTGAACTTGAACACTGTGGAGAGCTGAGCGTTCTGTTAAACACTAGACTACGTGGTTTTCCTGTGGCTTAAATTACCTGCTTCCTGATTTTATTACTCTCTAAACGAGTGTCTCGATGATATCACTTCATTCAGGAGCTGTGAAATGATGCTGCTCGTCCTCCTGTTCTTCTTCCATCTTATTCTGGACATTAACTCTCAATGTGAGTCATTATTGTGGTGCGTTGAGTGATTTGTTCTAATAGATGTTTACAAATAAATCTAGAGATTTTGAGAGATACTTCTGCATGTTCAGTTTGATGTTCAGTGTGTGTATTAAGTGGACTGTGTGATCTGTGTGTGTGGTTGTAGATGTTCCTCAGCCCCGGTTGTCCGTGTCTCCTGAAGTTATCACAGAGAGAGGATCAGTGCAGATTCACTGTCATGTTCCAGACAATGTTAAAGTGTCTCAGTGTTATTTCTACCCAGAGAGAGACGACACAAATCTAAAACTCTCTCCATCATGTCAGCTCTCAGTCACTGGTTCTGAACTAATCAGGTGGACAGGACAAAGTTCTCCTGGAACACTTCATATTATTTGTTACTACGCTGTGGATTACTCTGTTCGTACTTCTTCTCCTCACTCTCTCCCAGCTCCAGTCACAGTGCTGAGTAAGCTCTACATTACAATTTATGTCTTTTACTGTCTGCTTTAATCATGTTTCTAATTCACACTTGAATTTATTACCACAACATGAATGTCTGTAACAGTTAATACCTCTTTTCTATACATCCATTATAGTGCTATATATTTATTTATACATTTTATTTATTCCTCTGCAGATCAGAAACCGAGACTAAGCATCAGTCATGATCAGCTTGATGAATTCAGATTTGTATGTGAAATATCAGGGTCAGAGTCAGTATC